CTCCCACAAAACTGATGAAGGAATCAGATAAATTACAAAAAGAAATTTAATAGAATCAGACTTTATCAAATGTAAATAGTTGAAACTCAGTTTTATGAATACTGAACTGGTTGTTCTCAGGCTTAAAGTGTCTCTTTGCTCAGTTTGGGGTCATTAGAAGGCTTCTTAACCCATTAAATGTGAGATATAGAAACAGATTGGTTGTTTATGCCAAAAAAAGAGAAGATGATGTACAAAAAGAGAGATTTTTGGCAGTAAAGGACAGTTAATGACAGCTGAGGGATCCTTTTGAGGAGCAGAAACATGAGTTCAGGAGATGATTTCAGAGCAAAAACAGACTCTGAGAGTTAAAAAAATAGTTAAAATGTGGAAAGTATGAGCTGATTTTACACAAAACCATGAAAATATGTCCGTTTTTACACATGAAGCTGAAATAATCCCAGAAAATTCATTTGGGAATCAGATCATTGACTAAAATAAGTTAAAATAAATCAGAATATGTCCAATTTAAACCTTGAATTTCTGTTTTTTTCACCAGAATCAGCTCTAATTTCCACTGAATGAGCTCTGTTTCAACAGATATTCCAGACAGAAGCAGAAACAGGAGTTCAGGAGTAGGAAGTAGTCGATTTAAGAGTGTTATGGTTAAAAAAAAGAGCTAAAATGAGGAAAATATGAGCTGATTTCACACAAAACCATAAAAATATGTCCGTTTTTACACACGAAGCTGAAATAATCCCAGAAAATTCATTTGGGAATCTGATCATTGACTAAAATAAGTTAAAATAAATCAGAGTATCTCAATTTAAACCTTGAATTTCTTCTTTTTCCCTCCAGAATCAGCTCTAATTTCCACTAAATGAGCTCTGTTTCAGCAGCTGTTCAGACAGAAGCAGAAACAGGAGTTCATCTTCACCTGAATGTGATCAGACGACACTTGGACTCAGAATTCGTACCTTTATTATTCGTCTTTAAATTAAAACGAGCTGAAACTCTTAAAAAAAAAAAAAGAAGTCTCTCAGTCTCTGTAACTCTGACGAACGATT